CCTCCTCCATCTCCGCTTCATTCGCCGGATCCTCGTCTATGTAGGCAATGTTGCCATAAACGTTTTCGAAAACGTCATCCTCATCATCATCCTCTTCGTCCGCAAAGCCTACGGGATCTGTTGTCGGAATACGTGTGTAATTCTCGCGCTACAGCATACATATTTCGTACTACGTTATTAATACTGAAGAAGGTTTACTGGCCTACGCGGTATTGCGTCGGGGTCGGGAGGAAGGGAACGGACACAAAAGAGGTCCTCATTCTTACTTGATGAATAAAATGGAAAGAAAAATGCAGCATATCCGGGTTCAAAAGGGGAAGGGGGTATGAAAACATCTTTAGATATTATTTAGATAAAAAACTCATGGAAATTTATATCTGAAAGGGAAGTGCATTGTTAGCTATCACCACGAACCACCCAAATCATCGCAAACGACACAAACGGGAACATGAGGAAGGAACAAAGTCTCAGTCTCATTCACGCCTGAAGACCAGAGAACATGCGATCTGAAAACAATGGCTAGAATTACCAGATGAGGAAGATCTTTTCGCGGAAGTAGAGGAAGGTGAATGAAATAAAACAAGCGAAGGAAAAGGAGATCAGAAGGAGAGAAGTGAGGGAGAAGAGAGAGGAAATCCTACTAACTGTACCTTGCTTGGTCCCTGCGATCGCTGGCGTGCGGCGGGTGGCTCGACGGGCGCGGGCGCGGGCGGCGGCGCGCTGGCGGGGGTGGCGAGGGCGGCGCGGGAGGGGCGTCCTGGACTTCCACCTGGGCGTGAGCGGAGGAGACCGGCTTGGGTGTTTGTCCTTCAGGAGCCTGGGTTGTAAACGTTCAGGTCGGACTAACCTTGGCCCTTAAGCGTTAACATGCATGGACAAGATACACTTTTTTCTTTCATAAATCACACACTCCAAGGATATGATGGCACGAGCCCCTACCCTCCCCGTAGAGAAGAAGAAGAAGAAGAGGAAAGAGTTAAATCCTCAAATTATGCTATTGAGTGCTGAAGCCGGAACCCTATCACATTTGCACCTTTTTCGTCATTTTCTTTTTTCGTTTCTGCATGAATATGAAGTTTTCAGCAGGTATCGCATGCATGCCTCGCAGACGAAGACGGTGGCGATCGTTTTCGTCTGATCATTGCTCGTCTTGATCTTGAGCTACTACTAGAATGTTTTTATTGCTATAGGAACTGAAGCAAGTTAACATACACATAAGCTAATACCCTAGAATATTTCTATATACAATATAATAGGCTCCTTTACATATCTTTATGTACGAGAATGTTCGTGTGATTCCCGGGACATGTTTCATAAGAGCACTAGTTTACCTCCCTGGTAGCACTGGTACACTACAGGTGTGACAGGTAAGACCATTTGCATGCAGAAAGTTCATATGAAAGTAGAAAAATAACGGAAAAAGGGTTAATGTGATAGAACCTTCAATCTAATTTCAAGTCTATGCCTTTCTACATCTCAAGTCTAAATCTAAATGTAATTCTGTCTAAACCTAATCTGATTTTGTGTTTAACATTAAATCTAAACGTAATTTTAAAGGGCATATGTGAAGTAATTATCGTGCATTGTTTTTTCTTTGAATATTGTTCAATAATGTATGCTTAGCCTATTCATGCAAAAAAAAAAATCGAAGAGACCCTCTGGTATCCCCCAAAATCCCATAGCAACGCCCTTAGAAACGAAGATGCAAAACTCGGCGGTCTTCGGCAATCCCCGGTTGTGACGTCATTCCCAGGACCAGGGAGAATCTTGTTGAATAGCGTGATACACACAGTGCACCCGAGTCAAGGATATCATGGAATTGTTTCAAGCTATTAAAGTTTGTAACAAAGGATGCCGCGGCGTTGTGTAGCAATTCATTGTTCCCATTCATGTCACCAGCTATTTGAATGGCCAAAAGACCGCGACAGAGCAAGGAAGTGGACACGTTTTGTGCATGCCAAGCGGAGCAACTTTCAGCCTGTGCCAACCAGCGTACTTTGCCTGAAACACTTCGAGCCCGATTGCTTTGCGAACAGAATGGCTTACGACATGGGATTTGCAAAACGGTAGGCCATTTCCAATTTATATTTGTCATGATCACAACAGCGCAAAACAAACTCTTTTGCTTGGCGGCGTAGCAAACATTCATTGCGTGGGTACGACACAGTGTGCCGAGTGCATTGCAAGTGTGCATGTATTACTACACAGAGGTAGGGTAGGTACACCCCAAAAAGCACAACACAAATAAATACCGATGCCCCTCCACTCGCGAATGGATGTAGGCCTACGCCACGGGTGCAGACAAGAGATAGCTCAGCCTGCAGAAATTTTGTACCATACAGAAGCGGGATCACACGTTCGACTATAAAAAATAATTTAGAAAATTACCATTCATTCAATCTCTTCGGGTCTCGACGCCACTCCATGTCTGGCTGGTTTGGCACAACTTCCACGACATCCACAGCGTCGGGCTCGTGCATGTACGGTCCAACAACCATCAACCCTTGATATTCCTCTTCTTCCAACTCTTCGAAGACATAGGCACCCTCTGAAGAAGTTGTACCAATGTCCTCGTCGGAATAATCCGATGAAACCACTGATTTCACTGCCGCTGTAGTCTTGTAGTGAGTCCGCCAATGTATTGAATGCAGAGAATGCTGTGATCGTGTTCTGGAATTGACGTCACACATCCGGGTTCCGGATTTTCGCGGGAAAATATAACTTGACTTCGGAAAATCGAAATAAATCAATTTTGGGGAATTATTTTCAGATTTCCTTTTTTACTCATATTAGAGAGATGGTTTGCGAGCTAATTCTCCCTTTTTAAAATTTTCAGTTGTTACTTCACATGAGCCCTTTAAGTATGTGAGTCTTAGTCTAAATCTAAATCTAAATCTTATGCCGATTCTAAAACTAAATCTAATTCTAAAGCCAGGCAGCTTTATCCCGCCCTCTCCCCTTCTTTCCTCCATATCCCCTGCTCTCCTCTCCCCTCCCTCCCCTCACTCTCCCTTTCCCCCTATCCCTCTCTGTCTCCCCTCCCACCTCCCCCAAGACTTACCTGTGGCGGCGCCCAGATCTTCATGGTGAAAGGCTGAGGCTGCTGCGGCTTGTTCAGCTCCTGAAGGGCCGCGTCAGTGTCGCCGTCGTTAGTCTCGAGGGCGCGGACCACATCCTGCCGCTGGAAGTTCCCGCGGGAGAGGATGTCGTTGAACTGTAAAGGAGGGCGGGGTGGGAGGGGGGGGGGTATTAATGAAGGGCAAGATGGAAAAAGTAGATTGGTATCCAATTTTTATTATTATTTTCATTTTTATGATTGCATTTTGTTGTAGTGTTGTTGCTCCTGTTATGATTATTATTATCATTGTCCTTTTCATTATTTACATCATCATCATATCATATTACTATTACTGTATTAATATCATTACTATTCCATTACTATTACTATTTCTATTACTGTTACTATTACTATAACAATTACTAATGTTATTACTACTATCATTAACATCATCATTATTATTATCATTATTATAACTATAATTATAATGACAATATTGTACTACTAGTAGTACTACTAAAAACAAAAAACAAGAAACAAAAAAACTAATAATAATAGTAATAATAATGATTACTGTTATCATTATCAGTACCATTAACATTAACACTATTTCCATTATCATTATTATCTTTATACATGAAATATACATACATACACACAACTATGTATATATATACATATCTATCTATCTATCTATATACATACATACACACACATACGCACACACGCACATATACATGTATATATAAACGCACACATACCTTCTTCTGGCGCTGCTCGACGCACTCGGTCACGGCCGCCCAGATGTTGCCCTTGTGCGTCCGCAGCGCCGCCTTGGCCTCCGCGGCGGTGATGGCCCCGACGTCGTTGACGCGTCGCTCGTGGCCGTAGTTGGTGGCCAGAGTGAGCACCGTGTCCACCATGTGCCGCCAGTTCTCCTTCAGCCACTCCAGCGGGTTCTTGTCGCCGCTCTGGGCCAGGGCGATGGACACGTCCTCCGTCGTGTAGCCCGCCTCCTCCGCGCTCTGGGGGGAGGGAGAGGTTGGATCCTTCCTCAGCGGGAGTCGGGTTCCTCGAGCAGCCTTGGATTGGCTCGAAACCGTGCGTTGTGGTTTATATAATGGTTTTATTATCGTATATTTTATTGTGGCTGAATTATTAGATTATTATAGTTTCACAAGTATAAAGATAATATTCCCCACATAAAACACAGGTCAGGTGACAAACAGCATTGTACAATGCACAGATAAATTCTTGCATAGTTAAACACATCTAACTCAGCAAACAACGCATTCAAACGTAAAGACACACACACACACACACGCACATATGTACACACAAACCCCTCCCCAATACCATAAACACAAACACCACACAACACCCAAACAAAAAAACGCACACGTGAAACCACACACACACACACACACATCCCCCCCTCCCACACACACCCCTCCTCCTCCCCCACAAACACAACACACGCACGCACCCTGAGTGTCTGCACCAGCTCGAGCCCTTGTCTCTCCATGGTTTCCTGTCGCCTCTTGTGATAATCTGCTCCACTCATGTGTTTTTCGCTCACCTCCGCCTCTAAAGCCTTGGACTGTCGATCGGCCTGGATGGTAAAGCAAGGTCTTAGGCCCATGGGATGCGCTTTTGGGCTGGGCGTGAAGGAGTGTGTGTAGGTGTTGGGTGGTTGGTTGGTTGAAGGAGTGTGTTAGAGATAGATAGAGAGAAGAGATAGAAGAGGGAGGGGGCTGGGAGAGAGAGAGAGAGAGAGAGAGAGAGAGAGAGAGAGAGAGAGAGAGAGAGAGAGAGAGAGAGAGAGAGAAAGAGAGAGAGAGTACATGTCTGTATATGTGTAGAGGGGAAGTTAAGTATACGTGTCTGTGTACGTGCGTGTATTTTTGCAGGGCAGGGCATGAGACTTTTTAGAGAGTGGACAATTTGAAAACTCACGAGGAAAAAGAATAATTTTCTCCATATGCACTGATAATAAAAAAGTACATATACCATACGGTACACCTGAACGCTCATTTAAAAAGAGGGAATCATTGTAATCATTAGAATGTCCACTACCTTTAGGGGAGTAAGGTAATAAAAAAAAACAAGGTGGTATAATAATTGGCAATTAGGTGATAAGGCATAGGGAGCGTCAAGGTGATCACGACAAATATCAACCTGTTTTTAGAAAAATAATGAAACAAAACATTTTAAAAATATCGAAAGGACAATATAACCAAAAAGAGAAGGTAAGAAAGAGAATGAGTAACAGGAAAAGGAGAGGAGGGAGAGAGAAAGAGAGAGAGAGACAGAGAGAGAGAGAGAGAGAGAGAGAGAAGGATGAGGGAAGTCAATAAAAGAGACAAACATAACAAAAAGCAACACAAACCATTCATAAAAATACAATTAAACAGAAGCAGAAACAGAAAAAATACACACATACATCAGCTACGTTCAGATAATTAAAAACAGAAACCCAATCACCCGGACGACGTCACGCGTAGAAAAAAATCACAAACTTAGAAAAATAAAATAAATTGAAAACTAGAAACAAAAGATTACACCGAACAGTGACTATAGGACTATATACGATAATATCTCATGGAGGGGAGAGATGGTGGGGAGAGGGAGGATATACTACAGCTTTGAGGGAAGGGGGGGGGGTGGACACTG